ATTATTATGGCACGCTCTCAAGAGACTGATAATCTGGGAGATTTCTGTCCTAAATCTAGGGAAGATGGATTTAGGGCTGAAGGAAGGTAACAAGATATTTCTGGTAATTCTCTGCAGTTATGAAATCCCATCTCCTTGAAATTTTGTCAAGGGCCACCAGTGGCCATTCTTTCCTATGGTGCTCTTAAGACAAGGAAAGAAATATCTTCCAGCCTGGCTTGTAATGGTTGTGATCCAGCAGGGAGTCAACAGTTGGGGCTCTTCAGTATTTGATATTCGTTACTTTTAGTTAAATGCTTTGTCATTCCAAGTTTATTTTATGGTCTCAGCTATGAGTTTGAAGCATGCAGGATAAAAGGAAACATGCTAATGAAGGCATATTTTATGGAAAGTTGTACAAGAAATTAAGACCACACATTGATGAAGTGGTTAGAAATCAGCTACTCAAAAAGATCCTGCATGTGTGAGAAATATGGATGCTATGAAGCAAAATTAAACTGGCGACACTGATGAAAATGCTTGCACAGCTGTCCTTCCAGCTGCTATATTCAGAATTTCTCTCAATAAGAAGGAACCGATCAAAAGAACATTTCCTCATAAAACTGGCACCCAGGCCAGCTTGATTTGGCAGCAGATGCCACTCCTAGTGCAGGGGTTCCCACACTATAGCTTGCAACCTCCTTGGGGGTTGCAAGCAGGCAAGAGGAAGCATTGTCAAAATCCATGCTACACCATTTGTCATTTTGCATAGAAAGGAATCCTTATAGCCTCTATATGTTTTGGACTACAGCTCCCAGCATTTCTTCACAGTGGCCATTACGGTTGGGGATGATAGGATACGAGATCTACAACATCTTGGGGATACTATCCTGCCTAGGCATAGGTGAGTACCAGGACACCACCACATAACATGTACCATGTGATTATTTATTTTCTCCATATCCAATCCATTTCCAATCTCATCTGGAGATCAGAAGAAGGCCTTATCATATTTACACTATGATTTGGGAAAGTAAGAAACAGCAGAAGACATACTTTTTGATTTGCTTTTAATAAACTGCATCATAAGTGAGAGATCTGGAGAGTTGAGTGTGTCTGGGGATCTTTTTTGCCAGAGGAAAAGAAGGACATTACGGATGCTTACATGTTATAGAACATCTAGAACCAAGGTTTGGAGAAACACCACACTAAAACATACAGCAGCATTTTTTTCAATTAAGATCCCAATGCACCCACTGAAAACTACCCCCATTAACTGAGTACAATAGTACAAAATGAGGGTCCAATTGTAATGAGGCCTTTAAAAGTATCTTGTCATAGGTTTGTTTCTGGATGGTACAAAATATAAGCAGGAAAGTGAGTAGGGTTGTGTTTTACTTATTTGGGGTGACTTTACTGATGAACAGCTAAAAAAGTAAAATGTTTGTTCTTACAATAATAAAGTCTCTATCCTACGTCTATGCCTTATCTTATTCCTACTTCCTAATTCCCAGGCTTTTTTTTTTTGTCTTGCTCATTTATTCAGAGTGCTGAAGTACATTTTCTTTAGCTGTGAGTCTCTTACTTTTCTTCCTCTTGGTCCAGTTTTCACTTTGGGAACACAATAAACTGCCTGCAAAACAAGTTGTTACGTGGTCTTCAGAACCACTGCTGAATTCACTTTATTAGCTTGAGTTTCAGCCTTTCTTTTTCTGTCACAGTCTTGTCTCCTACTAGCATATTGCAACCAATCTGTCTCTTTCCCCACAGATTTTTATACTGGCTGTGTCTGCTGGATGATTCACTTGGTGGCAACCTTCAACTCTAGCAGGGTGTTGATTTTCTATTCTTTGCTTTACCACTGCAATGGCTGTTTTTCCTTTAACCAGACTGCCTGTAGATGCCTTCTCTTTTTTTCCTCTCAGTCCTCTGATGTTCAAGCTGATCCTTACTGCCCCTTGCCATCATCTCATAGGTCTGATTTTTTTTCATCATTCTTCCTTCCACTGAGAACCAAAGCTGTAGCCTCCACACACACACATACACACCATCACCATTGTCATCTCTCACATCTCTCCTCCTGTCAGGGTTCTTTTTATCATTTAGCTGATTAGCTAAGAGGTGGGAAAAGGAGATTCTTGGTGCTTCCAAAACTTTTGTGTGGCTTTCTGAAGGGGAAGCCTTGCACCTTCCAGAACCTTTTGTCAGGTTCCAAACAAAAAATTAGATGGAGGAAACTGGTTTGTTTCCCAGCTTTTCCCAGCCATACATACCTACAAAAATAAATGGGAAAGATTTGCATATTCTATTCCCTGATTTTTCTATGTGATTTTCCTTCCAGATAGCTCATGCATATTAAATGTATTGTATACTGAATATGTAATCATGATTTTAAAGTCTCTATACTTGAACATCTTAACAAAACCGACTATATTATTAAGCTGATTTCATATTATCTTACTAAGTATTTGAAACTAATGGAAGTGCTACAAAAACATCATTTTTGCTACTTAACATGCTACATTGCCCTTAAAATTAAGACATGAAACATTAATGCCTACGTTACACTTTTAGATCCACTGAAATCAATGGGCCATATTGAAACACATGTTTAATTTTTTTCATTCCAATCAATAGGATTTAGATACTTATTGGGGGGAGAATCATACCTAGAGTTTCAAAACTTAATGACATCTGCAGTTCATATAAAAGGGCATGCTATTAATGCTTTCAAATTCGCCACAATTATGATATCAGTATGAATTCACAAGTACGACAGCCAACTTCCCAGGAATACACCTTCCCTTGTCTCAAATAGAATCAACACTGGGCGAGGCATGACATCAATCATGTAAAGAAATGGCAGATGTCCAGACCCTCCTGTACAGGTAGTTCTCACCTAACAATGCTAATTGGGACCAGAAACTCCATTGTTAAGTAATGTGGTCATAAGTTGAAAAACCACATGTCTGCGCTGCTTAGCAAGAGCAGTTCTGGTCACCATCATTAAGCGAAGACCACACAGACTGTTAAGCAAGGACTTCACATGACCACGGATCCCGACTTCCTGCCAGCTTCCCCACTGACTTTGCTTGTTGGAAGCCAGCAGGAAAGGTCCCAAATCACTATCATGTGACTGCAGAATGCTGCAACAGTCAGAAGTGTGGGCTGTTTGCCCAGCACCCAAAACACAATCACATGACTGTGGGGGTGCTGTGACACGTGCAACTTTGAGGACCAATTGTTAAGTACCACTTGTTCAGCCCCGTCATAACTCTGAATGGTCGCTGAACATGTGGTTGTTAAGTGAGGATTACCTGTATAGGAAAAAGTTTTGTTCTTTTAAAATTAGAGGCAGAACGCCAGAGAAATGGAGAACAAAGCAGCTGTTCCTGAATCAGGGAAAGAACTGGGGTGTACCATCTCCTTAAGAATTCTGATATACGTTTGGAATTTCCAGGGCTGGTCCAGAGAAAAGAATCAGGGGTCTTCATTTTAGAATTCAGGTTATCTCTGAATTGGGATAATACAGGGAATTGTAACACATCAATGCTATTTTGCAGATTTGTTTTAGTTTAATTGATTTGTATACTGTGAATTGGACAGCTCTGTAGTCTAGTTTCTGCAACACTACATATTTACAATGTTAAGATTTAAAGTTAAAAAGTGATATATATTAATAAAGTTTGGTTTTTCTTTATTTCTTATGAGATTGCTATACCTCCCAAAGGGAGGGGAATAATAGTTGATTCATTTTTAGACACACATTTCAATACTATATGGCCAGGAGGAGGAGCTCTAACAATATTTTTTTTAATATTTTCACTTATCAGAAAAGTAGAAAGGTGTAGGAGCACTATCTCTTTCATATACCATTGGTTGGGCAGAGGAAACCAGGTGAGGCACCCTCTTGGAAACTACGTGGTGGCAAAAGCCACTATTCTAGGACAAGTAGTAGGGTCAGGTTGTGAAGACTTAGAGGGTTTCAAGGAGAGGAGGTTTGACACTTCAAACCTACCACCCCACAGGCTCAGATTTGCTTGCTTAGCAGTCCAAAAATCTGGATACAGGTCTCTCACCTTTATAATCAATTAGAGTTTTAAGGATCTACAAACTGTTAAGTTTCAAGTTTTGTACAACTGAATTACTAAACATTTATATCCATTTCCCATCAATGAATGCTTTATTTCTCAACAAATCCCAGCAAAAGTAATTGAAAACTGTTGGAAAATGAACCGCCTAATAGCCAACCAATCAATGCAAATATCCGACGAAGACTTAAAAAAAAAAAGAAAGAAAAAACCTATACAAAAGTACTATAATTTATACCACTGTCTATATTCTACACACAATGGATGGACTGGAAATGTACCATATGCCTTCTTCTCCTGTTCCTTGCAAAATGAGCTCAAAGTAGCAGATTATTTGTTTTCAAAAACAAGAGACTGAAATTTTACTTTAAAAGGCTGAGCAGTTACTGAACCTCTGTCAGCACCAGACCTCAGCTTTTGCCATCTAGAAGCCTTGCTTATTCTTTTCAGCAAGTTCTATCCTTCCCCAGCTCGGTGCCTTCCAATTTGCTGAGAAGACAATCTGCAGTACAGACCAAAGCCAGAGATTCTGGAAACTGTATTTCCAACATAATTAGAAGGTACAAAGTTGCAGAAGGTTGTCTTACATAAGATTAGAATGACAACTTTTCAACAGACTACTATTTCCAAGTGAAACTGGCTAAGAAAATGCCTAAACCAGGGGTTGTTTTATGCTGTTCGCCCAGTCCTCTCCAATTATAGCTCCATCTGAAAACAGGGGAAATAATTCTGTGCTGACACTGAAACAATTCTGTAATTTAAAAAAAAAAATCTTGCAGAATATATAGGCTTGTCCAGAACATCAGCTTTACACATGCCATTTAACATATATTTATTCTCTTAATTTCCCGATATATTCAGAACCAAAAAGATTATGAGTGGGGGAAAGTAGACGTATTGATGAAACAAAAAACAATTGGAAAAACTTACCAGAGACATTAATTGACGTTCCAGCATCTATAATTCCACTGTTGGGCCGAACACAATACCTGCGTGGAGCCGTAGTCTTCACTTTGAAGCAGACATTTTTATCTGTAGGGTTGCCAAGTTTCAGATTTGTGGTGACAACATCTGTGAAGGGACCTAAGGGACAGAATAAACACAACTTTGAAGTTTTTCCAAACTTCACATAAATGTACACATTCCCTCTCACATAAATGTATGCATAACATGCAAAAATACTTAAGCCTGATTAGAACAATCCACTTAAGCCAGACTCTATCCAACCTGTAGCACTCTAACGTGTTGGGGCTCCAATTCCCCAAATGCCTACCCTGAGAATTCAAGGAACAATATACCTAGAGTCCTAGATTAGGGAAAGGCCAGGCCAGGCTAGGCTATGCCTTATTATCAATCTACTTTTCTGCTAATGACTCAAGACAGCATTTATAGTTTTGCTTTGGTCACCTCTTCCATTTTATCCTTCCTGCTAACTACATTAGGCTTGGTGAGTAATCTGCCCAAGATCTTCCAGTAAGTTTTTTTTTAATAGTAATTTAATTAAAATTACAATTGCAAAGATAAAAACTAATACAAACTAAAAAAAGAGAAAAAGAATAAAAGGCGCAGAAAAGAAAAAAAAAGAAAAATAGAAAGAAAAAATAAGAATATAGTAAAGAAAAAGATAATATATACAGAAATAACTCCCCCCCTTTATCATAAGTATAAATAATTTTAGTAACTTATCACATTCTCTTAAAATACAACAAATGATCACTTCTTCCCATAACCCATCTCTTATCCATAAACAAAACCTTAAAGTCTTGTCATTTCAATCCTGTTCAGCAAGAGTCCATTAAGGATTACCAGCAATAACAACATACCTAATACAACCTTGATCAAATAAACCAACTTTATATCCCTTCCTTTTACTTTCAACAATCTTGATCTTTAGTCCTTCCAAATAATGTCCTAGAACTTGGTTTCTTTTCATTTTTTCTTTGTCCCTTATTCAAAACACAATTCTTCAAAGCCTCTTTTGTAAATCAAATATAGGAAAATTATCTAGGTCATTCTCTTGGTTTACTTGTATTTCTCTTTTAATTATTAAGACATCAGCTGGTTTCTTTTGTATGTCCAAGTGTAGCATCTTTTTCCATAACATTCTTGTAGCCTGTCATTTTTAAATCCACTTTCAGATCAGTCTCAATCGTGTCAGGTAAAGCTTGTTCCTTTCCCATAACATCTTTTAAACACAGTCTATCTATAGAGGCAGACACTCTCAAAATTAACTTCTGAATCCACTGTTCAAAAATTACCTTCAATATGTTAAAATATTTTGCTTCATTCTGTATTATTAAGTCAAATTTAAAAGTTCTTCTCCTTTAATTGCAATCTTTAGTTCCTTCTCATTTCTTTTAGTGTCCAACCTTCAAAGTCTCATCCTATCATTTTTTTTTAAAGAATTCAAAACAAAAGCATTTTTCCATGGGAAGGGTTCTTATAATTAATTCCAAAATCTTATTTCAAATCCATCTGGACCCTTAGTCCGTTTCTAACTTTCCAGAATCAAAGTTCTAATCACCCTTTTGCTGTTTATTCCCCCCCCCCAAAAAAGGACTTTTTTAAGTCCTTAAACTTGTATTTAAAACTTTTTTCGCTAAGGACTGAAAAAAATTCACGAGGTGTTTTCAGACTTGTTGATTGAAAGGTTTCAAATATCTAAAAAGCACTTAACAAGCAATTTCCAAAAGTGATTAGAAAAGTATGCGAACCCAGTGTCTTTAAAGGTGCCAACTGTGGTTTGAGCAAGATGGCTATTCCCTTGTTTCCCAGACCTCTAAATCCACCAGAGATCGCTGCCTTGCGGTCTCCTTATGAGGAGCAACTATCTGAAGCACTTATGGGCTACTCACTGGCTCTTCATTCCACTGCAGTTGTCAGTTCTGCTTTTAGCAGAACTGTCTTCAGTTCACTATTTCTTCCCTGGAAGTGATCTTCCAATAAGTTTTATGGTTGTGCCCATCTGATATTTTAATTTTAATGCTTTAGTTCACTTCCCCCAATTCATAGTCCCTGAAATGTTACTTGATTTTTTTTTTGAACTATATATATTTTGTGCATATATAAATTAGAAGTGCCAACTTAGATAAACCAAAAGATCACTTCTATCTACTGAAACTAGCCCAACAACATTCATTAGGCTAATTTCACTGGCCACTAACATTCTGGGACTATTCTATTTTGTTAGGATGCTGGTGTAATGAAACAAACAAATAACAATGACTGGTTAGAATATATCCAAGAAATAAGGTGGCCATGAGGGAATGGTTATACAATGTTAAGGCACTGGACCAAGCCTGGGGTAAAGCCCACCCTCAGCCATGGAAGTTCACTGGGTGACTCTGAGCTAGTCACTTGCCCTCAACCTAATATAACCTACAGAGTTGTTGTAAGAAAAGTTAGGAGTGTAAGGTACACCACCATGAGCTTCTGGAGGAACGGCAGAATATCAACAAATAAATGAATATATCTGTATGAGTGTGTGCATCTTTGAAAAATTGAGAAAAGGTGCAGTTGCCCAACTGGAGAACTAGAAAAGCCTGCTGTGATCCACAGACCACTTATAAAGCCCAGCTTATGCACAGGGGGCTTCCTTTGGCTCTGTTTTTTAACTTGCACACTGTGCACTACTGAAAACTGTTGAGTTGTGTGGCATTAATGGTAATACAAGAACTGTTAACACTTGCCTTTGCTGTGAACATCCCAGGAGAGTCACATGGTATACAGTATTCATACAAAATCTTTTTTTAAAAAGTGGACAAGTATTCTTGGAAGGTTGAGTACACATCAGGCCCTAAAGACTGGCTAAACAAAATTTGTCAGCTTTTAGTCTTTGAATTGGCTTTGTATTGATGGAGAGGCACAATTAGACAATATGATCTGGCTTTAATTTCTTGTTTAAAAATGAACCCTAATGTTTTGTATAAATATGATTGTATTAGTTTTGGTATGAGGTAAGTAGAAAAATCCCTAACGTACTGTATCACAATACTGTATTCAGCTTTTTTTGGGTATTTTTTTCCTCTAATTTTTTCCTTCTGTTGATTAGGTTTTTTTTTTTTAGCATATAGCTCTTCACCCAGGCCTTTGCAAGGGAGGGTGAGATCCCTCACTTCATTTTGCTTGCCATCTTTGATCTTTGATTGCTTTTATTGTAATTTCTTTGTTTGATTGTTGTGAGCCGCCCAGAGTCACTGAGAGTTGGATGGCATGCAAGTTTAATAAGTAATTATTGTTGCTGTCATTGTTATTGTTTTTCATAGTTTAGATGGAAATTGACAAAGACTGCATTCAATTGTTATCAGTGGTACAACTGGATAAATAAAACTTGATTTAAAAAAAGTATGTTTGTAAAAAATCAGTTTATAGTTCAAGTTGGCCTTTTAATTGCTACTGCATCTTAATTGCTGGCACTGGTACTGCAATTCTATGAAGAGACCAAAAAGGAATATATTAAAACTCAAGATAGAGCTAAGAGCATGGCATCCCTTAATGCCACACTTAAGAGCATCTTTCAAACAGGAAGCTGCAGTGAAGCAAATTTGCTACAGAACTTACAAACAGGTGTTGCAGAGGTTTGCTAATTCATGTACTGATGCAGAGGTATGCACAAACCTATTTAACACATTCAAATCCTACATTATCACTGTGACAAGTTGGTATCTAAGGTGTCAGATAAAAAATTAAAAAGTTAACGGCCAAAGTGGCCTCAAGCTATTATTCCTGAAAGGAAGGCAGGGATAAGACAGTTTCACAATGTTCTTTTAACTCCTGAAAGCTATCCATGCACTGGTACACTCTTCAGTTGCAAATCCCTTTCATTAACAATATTTTATAGAAAGAATTACTTTTTTGCAGCTGCTATGAATCTACGACCTTTCAACTGGATGAACTCAAGTTTCATTTTATCTGCACAATTTTACCTATCTCTATATCCCCTGTTATTACCTTTACCAGCCAGGGGAAAAAAAATGTTTTCATTGATAAATTGTTTCAACCATTTGGTTATTTGGGCCAAATTCTTCTTATTTCATTGTAATTCACTTCATAGAATATTGTAGGGTATTCTACAATATCCTTTTAGATGCAGCAACCAGAACTGCATACAGTATTTTAAACATAATGACAGCATTGATTTGCATTAATGGATTACAAAACCACCAGTTCTATTTTCAATTCCTTTTCCAAAGGGTTCCACCACAAGGCTTGAAACATGTTTCTCTCAATCTGACTGTTAAGCTCCCTTTCCTTCTCAGTCAACAAATTCAGACTCCATTACCACATATGCGAAATTAACATGTTTGGACCAGCTGCACATGCTTTTACACTTCCTTTGAACTGCACTTGCCATTTCAATGCCCATTCCCCAACTTGAGTTCTTTTTAAAGTTCTTTACGATCTCTTTTGTTTGAAGCACCCTAAACAATATGACGTCAACACTAAACTTGGTCATTTCATTGCCCACACCTTTTTCTAAAATCTTTACAAACATGTTAAAAAGTAGTGATTTCCAATTAAAAAAACCTTGCAGAGCCCTCTATTTACATCTCCTGAGTACTGCTCTTTCTGCTAGACTAACACTATTATATTTGTCCAGGGCTCTAGCAAATGTTTTCTAGTATAGTGTTAGGCATATTAAGTTTCCGCTTTAAATAGTAGGGTATGAAAAGCCTTGTTAACACCACTTATAAATAGCCCCTTAGCAAACTGCATTATATACCAGCTTGCAAATTCTGAAGTTTCTGATGCTATTATGGGCAGGAATGAAAGGTCAAAGGTTAATAGCTTCTCTGGTCAATAGCAGAAGGAAACTACATGTGTAAGCTATGAGTTCAGTTTAGATTTTTACACATTACTTTCTTCACATTTATACATTATTTATTTAAAAGTTGTTTCACCAAAAGAACACATAGAATTTGTATCATAGCAGACTATCTTAAGTAAGACGATTTTACATATGTGGGATACCTAGAAGTCAGAAATAAAAATAAAAATTACCCTAAGTGGTTAGAAGAATTAGATGGAAAATAACAAAATAAAATGTAACAAAGACAAACACAAAATTATTTACTTAAGAAACA